AAATGCGAAAAATCGAAACAAAAGTATTTTTCTTTTTAACCATTTTTTAAGCACTTTATTCAAGTTTGGTCAGAAACCAAATAATGGTTGACTTATAAATACAGCCTTACCATTATACTCACTTCAATGTCAATAATTGAATGAACATAAAATAGAATTGACACCTTTGAAGCAGACTGTTTTAGCTGATAAGTTCTCTGAAGCATTATCTATCTTCCAGTTTTGCAATTTTTTCGCTGTTGTTAATTCTTATTTTAAATGCTCACTATCTCCTGCTGTCTAGCACAATAAAATTGGTGTTGCACCGTAAAACTGGTGTTGCAACATAAAACTGGTGTTGGAGTTTACAGTGAGCAAGTAACAAACCTTATTTCAAACTTTAAACCTTATTGATAAAGTCTTAAACGAGTTTTCTTCGACCTGGATTATTCCAAACAGCTATTGAAGTGCAGTATGAATTACAACAGCAAAAAATCTAAGAAAACATTTTAAAAGTGAACATTTTTGTGATACTTGTTAAATATAGCAAATTTTCAAAATTTGCCATATTTGACGTTTTTTATTTTAAGTAATAATTTGTAGTATTTTTCTTTGTGAATGTTTTTTTTCTAGTCTACTAATACTTTATTTTGAAGGAGGTTTAGAATTGAACTGGTGTATTTAATACATAATATTAACATACAAATAGCCAAAATTGTACTAAATAATGTTACAATGTGCCTTGGTGTTAAATATTGGCATATTCTTTCTAAATTTGCTGAAGGACACGTATCACATCATCTCTTTCTTATATCACCACAAACCGAACCAGAAAGTCACCATCTTTACGCAATCTTTAAGCAGTCACCATCTTTACGCAACTAAAGCTTCCGTATGGCACGGTAACTTTTTCAAAAGATCTCTATGTTGAAGGTAACTAACATTTTGCTTTTTCCAAATCAGCGAGCTGTATCGTTAGTGGTGGTTTTGCCGCTGTGAATTACTCCAATAAATCAAACCCTACGTAATTTGTACCATAAAATTGAGAGTAGGAACTTTGAATTACCGCACACTTGTTTGATTAACTTTCATTCTTTTTTTTTCTTTCTGTATACGCCTAATACTTGTTTCTCGAATTTGTGGCTGCTCATCTAATATCGTTACGAGAATAATATTTTTTTTGATGGCCTAAGAATGCATTTGTTTAAATAACTTGTCTACTACCTAACATAAGACATCTGACACATTCTAATATTCTGTATCTATGCAGTACTACTGCATAGATAAAGAATATTTTTTGACGATGAAGCAGATAAAGAATTTTTTTTGACGATGAAGCAGATAATGGTATCAAAATTATACCAAATTAAAACAAATCACAAAACTTTTAAACAGATAAAGTTGAATATTACGCATCTAATCAATGCTCTACTCGTAATTTCAACACAAAACATAAACGATTAATTTATACTATTACAAACTATGTAATATAATATAGGGAAAGCTGTTGTACCTTTGACCACTTTTTGCTTGAAGGCGTTTTTTGCGTAGTCTATTGAGTAAACTTAAACCATTCAATCTATATAATATTTTCTCATATTTTGCCCAAAAAATATACTTAGGACTTTTTTTTCATTCGTCCAAGTAGTATTTTTTTCCTGCGTTTTAAAAAAAGAAGTCTATTGGTCAAAGGTACAACACATACGTTGTACCTTTGACCAATGCGCGTTGTTCCTTTGTCCAAAATGTTATTATTAAAAATCATTCAATGTTTGAACCTCTTTAATATTTTAGCTTGTTATATGTTATATAGCAACTTCTGGCCTACCTTATATCAATAAAAAAACAAATCTTATTATTTTGTAATCAATCCTAATTGTCTAAAAAAATTAGAAAAATTAATCCTAACAATCTTGCAAAGACTTGTGTATCGAAGTTACGATACTCAGTCAGTATTACTAATAGTATTACTAATTTTTAAAAATAAAATCAGATAAAGTCACATATTTTCTTTAGATAAAGTCACATATTTTCTTTAGTTAGATGCTTTAGTTAAATAGGTCAAAGGTACAATGTCCTAGTCTGATCAAAGGTACACGAGATGGGTTTCTTTAACAATTATTGTCTCAATCCCCATTTACGGTCAGACATAACCATCCAAACTTTTCCATAAGAAAAAAATGGTGTTGGGTAATGTTTATAATGTCGTAGATGAATCAAACAACAACTTTTCACAGTTTTAAAATCAGAATAAGATTAACACAAATATTTACTTTTTAAGAGCCAAAACTTATAATTACTCGTGGATCAATACCACCTATCCCAAGTATGATGGGATATAAAAAAACGTGAAGTGCCATTATTTCAAATGGCACTTCACGTTTTTTTATAATAATAATAGTAAGCCGACAGAGTAGAGTGACCAAAAGTACAACGTGGTCAAAGGTAAAACAGTTCCCCTACGTCAATTATTATTAAATATTATTAATTTATAAATAATATTATTAATTCAAAATAAATGCAATTACTAACATTTAGAAGTATGGTTTCTATTAAAACTCGGAAAAATTGATTATAATATTATAAATATTATAATATTAGCTAAAAACTGCTGCAGAGGGTAACTGTTGTCTGCTTTTTCTTATTTTGATCTCATTTTTTTAGTTTTCTAACAACTAATATAGAAATCAGGAAGAATAGTTGTATTTCTGAAAAAAGTTATTTTCACTCCACCCTAATGTATACTAAGGGCGAATTATTTAAATTAGGTTTAATAACTCGAAAATAAAGTTTTTGACTTCAGGGCAAAAAACTGGTTATTTCAAATCTAATAACCCATAATTTCAAAATTATTTGCTCTGGTGTACCCAATCATTTAAAAAAAAATTATTTTTAGGTCTTTTGTTGCAAAAAATCAAAATTATGTTTTAAAATTTAATGAAAAATATGTTGCATATATATATATATATATATATATATATATATATATATATATATATATATATATATATATATATATATATATATATATATATATATATATATATATATATATATATATATATATATATATATATATATATATATATATATATATATATATATATCTATATATATATATATATATATATATATATATATATATATATATATATATATATATATCTAGATATAAGATATCCAAAAAAACATTTTGAATTTAATTTTGAGCAATATGTCACCCTCCTTATTTTGGTCCCAGTACACCACCATAAAAATATCTGTGCTCTAAGTCACTGTTTAGCTGAAGAAGGTGTTTTTTGAGAAAAAACTTTCATATAAATTTTAATGATTTTTTTTTTCCATTACAATTATACAATTCCGGTAGTATAATATTTTTATAAAATAATCAAATTAACATAAAAGTTAATCATCCAATTCATTAATTCTGACTGCTATACTTACTGCAACTTTAAAAAAAAATTCAAAATTTTTTTACTCTTTGTTCTAATTGCATTGTATAAAAATTTTGTGTTTTTTAAATGAAACACTACGGAGAACAAAAAAATTAGGTGGTTCAAGAGTTATTAAACATTTGTTGTAAAAAATATATTTTAAAAACAAAAATATAGCCATAAAGTGATTTTTAAGTATTCTATCTAAATATTCTTCAAGTCTTGTTGAGTGGCACGTTTAGACACCTTCCGCCGGTTGTCTAAAACCACCATCATCGTGTCTTGGAGCCTGTCTTCGGAGTGTGTCCTTCCAATGAATCCTGCGCCAATTTGATGTATCTATCAACCCTTAACAACTGCTAATTGACATACCCTAGACAAAAATGACTAAAACGATTTATTGTTGAGATTTTTCCCCAAATTTGACACTAATTGCTAACCTTTCTACTGTTTCCGAAATCTTGACCTACGTCCTTTACTGTTTGATCTACTTTGTGTCAAAGTGAAGAACAAGTTTTAAACTCCTTATCTTATACCGGTTCTGCTCTCTTACTATAAGTCCTTCATTCTCTATAATTTCATGGTTTTTTTTTGAAATCTGCGACTTAGGAATGTTCAACATGTTAATATCTACTCCCCCAGCTTGGAATAGGAAAGACAAGGTTGCTGTTTCAGCTCTCACGCTAATTTTATACCTAAAAAAAACAGAGCATTGTCACTTTTTTTTTTTTACTCAACAGTTACTCTCAGTCTCTCTTCCTGTTGGTTTTCTTCTAACATCTTCCTCAGCAAGTTTTTGATCCTTAACTCACCTTCAGCAACTATTTCAGCGAATGTTTTGTTATTTTTGTAGGACATCTTAACCATATTCCCTTTCAAATATCTCTTCAAAAAAATTTAATCCTCCTTTACAGCCTCTTTACTCCTTCTAAGATCCTTGCTTATTATATTATTTATATATATACAATTGAAGACGTTCAAAATCATCTTAGCAATCTTGAAGAGACAAATCAATTTACAGCAGCCGTGGCGCAGTGGTAGCGCACTAGCTTCAGACACGTAAGATACGTGGTTCAAACCCCACTTCTGGGCAAGTTTTACGACATCGGTTGGGAAGGAGACGTGAACTTCCTATTAAATGTTCTTCCGCGGTGCTCTGTGATAAGACCGTAAGGACTTCTTGGGGCACCTTAATCAACTTAAAATAATAATAATAATAATATAAAAAAAAAAAAAAAATTGGTGTAGATGGAATCCACCCACGTGTATTACGTAACTGTGCAGCAGCATTTGCAATACCACTCAACTCTACTTTTAGACAATCTTTATTGTCTGGTTCTGTACCTGAATATTGGAAAAAATCAAACATTACTCCCATCTTTAAGAAAGGGAGCAAGTTTAAGGCCTACAATTATCGAACGGTCTCCCTCACCTCAATACCGTGCAAAGTAATGGAAAAAAAATTCACAAACATAATATGGCGCACTGTGTGGAAAACAATCTAATCTCCAAGCATCGGCATGTTTTATTTGTAAAAAGGGATGTCTGACTAACCTCTTCGAAGCTCGCGACATACTTACCGATGCTATGCATCAAGGTTACAGTACTGATATTATCTACACAGATTTTGCTAAGACATTCGTCAAAGTCCCGCACAAACGTCTTCTACATAAACTAAAAGCATACGGCATTCACAAAAAGTTGCTACTTTGGATTAAAATTTGGCTAAAAGATCGTAAGCAACGTGTTGTCTTGGGAGAACACGTTTCTGAGTGGAAGAACGTCACAAGTGGAGTTCCGCAGAGTTCTGTTTTGGGGTCACTGCTTTTTATTATGTTTATAAACGATCTTTCTGATAGTATCGTCCACAAAATAATGCTGTACGCTGATGACAGCAAAATTATTGGGATCATAAAGTCGGCATCGGATAACACAACACTTCAGACAGATATTGATACGCGGTTACATGGTCAAACACTTGGCTCATGCACTTTAGCATTGATAAATGTAAAGTGATGCATGCAGGTTGTCCTTATAAACGTTTATCACATGACTACTCTGTGGAAACCCCTGATGGCATGCGCCACACTATTGCAACTACAACTATTGAATGTGACCTTGGAGTTTTCATATCAAACGATCTGAAAGTCAGAGCTCAAGTTGAAAAAGCAGCATCCACAGCCAATCGCATGTTAGGAAAACTAAAAAAATGCTTTCCGCAGTACAAACTTAACCTTGTGGCGCACACTCTATATATCTTATGTCCGGCCACATCTAGAATTCGCCATTCAAGCCTGGTCCCCGTATCTCGAAACAGACATTAAGTTGCTTGAGGATGTTCAAGACCGCATCACTAAGACAATATCATCTATCAGCCATTTTGATAAAATAACGCGTCTGCAAGTACTCAAATTAACTACCCTCAAAGAACGTCGTTTGCGTGGTGATATGATCGAACAATTCAAAATTTTCAACAACTATGACGAAGTTCATTTTACGGTCCCACAACACTAACTAATTGGGCGTGAGGTGTACAACCTACGCGGCCATGATAAGCAGCTTGATCGTCATTTCGTAAGAGGATGTAAGGAAAGATCAAACTTTTTCACAAATCGAGTTGCGGTCCATTGGAACTCTCTCACACAGCACGCGGTAAACGCTCCATCCTTAGATGCATTTAAAGATCGGATTTCGATAAACTCTTAAATCAGCATAGAGATTCCTGGAAAATTCTCTTCATCAAATTAACAATTTAACATTTAAATATATACATATGTATATGTATATATTTTTATAATTATTGTTACGGCATTATACCGGTTTAAATGTATAAATTTGATTACTGAATATATCAAACTCAAACTCAAACTCGTATTAGGGGGGTATAAAATTCTATATTTCTTGTTTATCCAGTTATTCTTAATTAATTTTTTGAGAAAAGTTCAAAAAACAATTCAGTTTTTGCTAACTTTTTATGGTTGACCTTCTACTTCCATTTTAAAAATTTAAAGATATAAAAAATAAAAGTCTTTACAAAAGTTTCTTTGCGTATAAAGTTACGCAACTTTTCTTTCAAATTTATGCTATTCAAATTTTGATTGGATAAATTTAATTTTTAATCGTTGCGTTTTTGAAAAAAAAAGTTTCATCCGAAGTCTTTTTCTAAAAAAACGTTTCAAATAAGTAAAACGACATATTGCTTCAAAAAAAAAGTTTTATCTAAAGTCTCTTTCTAAACAAAACGTTTTGAGTAATCAAAAAGACAGATTGCTTCAAAATATCTTAATTTTATTTTTTTATTTATTTTTAATCGTTATTCAAGCTATCAAGAAGGCTATTCAAGATTTCATTTTTTTTTCACTTTTCTTTAATAAAGTCAAGAATAAATCTTCTTTTAAAGTGCAAGTCAGTAGAAGTTCAGTTAAATTCTAAAGGATTAACAACTCTAAAAATAAACAGGCTAAAGGAATACCGCTACCTAAAAAATATTATTATAAAAAATTTTTATAAAAAATATATATATATAATATATATATATATATATATATATATATATATATATATATATATATATATATATATATATATATATATATATATATATATATATTATATATTATATTATATATATATATATATAAATATATATATATATATATATATATATATATATATATATATATATATATATATATATATATATATATATATATATATATATATATATAATATATATATATATATATATATATATATATATATATATATATATATATATATATATATATATATATATATATATATATATATATATATATATATATATATTAAATGTAATATTTCGGCTCATATAGGAGCCATTTTTAAACTAAAATACGTTACAAAAAACTCGTATTATTAAAAATTGAATGAATTTTTTGTAACGTAATTTAGTTTGAAAATGGCTCTAACTATATGAGCCGAAATATTACATTTAAAACAAAAAAAATTTTAATAGTTAAATAAATAGTATGTCACCGTATATGATAAATTTTCGAATTTATAAAATTCATCATACTATTAAGATGTCATCAAAAATGTATTGGCATCCCCCCCCCCACGTGACACCTACTCGCGCCGGGCCTATATATATATATATATATATATATATATATATATATATATATATATATATATATATATATATATATATATATATATATATATATATATATATATATATATATATATATATATATATATATATATATATATATATATATATATATATATATATATATATTTTAATTCTTGTATCTTCAGATTGTTATATTATTGTTGAATAAAGCTTTTATCAAGAGGTTTATAACAATTTATTCAACACTAAACAAAATTTTATTTGAAAATGTCACAGATCTTAAAACCGACGATGCTTGATTTTGTTCATAACGCTCCTACTGCTTCAAAAGATTGAAAGCATTGGAAGCGATCATTTGAGAATTTTATTGAGGATTCTAGAGAGGATACTTTAGAACAATTTTGTTCAATCAATAGTTTCGTGTCATCCAATGTTTTGGATGACATTGAAGAGTGGGATTCTTATGAAAGTTTTATTGAAACCTTGGAAAATTAATATATAAAAACCTAATGAAATTTCAGCAAGTTATCAACTATTTATAAGACATTAAACATCATGATGTTTAATGTCTTATAAATAGTTGATAACTTGCTGAAATTTCACCTGCAGGTGAATCTTCAGAAGATTTTCTTCAGGAACTGCGTAAACTCAAAAATAATTGTAATCATAAAGATGTTTCAGTTGAAAAATATTGAGAGAAACAAATAGTAGACGCTTTTGTTTCTGAAATAACTTTGCGTTACATTCGCCAACATCTTCTTGAAAAATCAACATTGACTTTACAATCAGCATTTAACCGAGCTTGCTATTATGACATTGCTCAGAGGAACTCCCAGCCTTAAATGCAAAAACCCCCTCATTGTCCACCAATCCTAATATTATTGTTACTATGAAACTACCAGAAGTACCCTCAGTAGTACCCGATGCTATTCATCCACGAAAAAACTACATTTATTGTGGTAATAAATTGCTCAAGCAACTTAATCGAACCTCTGCTAGGAAAAATTGTCCAGCTTAAAATATATATTTTTAAGCTGCAAAGACAAACTTTGGAAAAACATATTTAAAAAAACATATTTTTCCACAGTTTGTCTTTGAAAGCCAATGAATATAACCCACAGTGTTTTATTCATTGGCTTTTATTTTATTCACACTTAAAATAGTACACAAACTAAGTTTGTGTACTATTTTAAGTGGTTTTCCATTGAGCCTCTCTTATGCATCTGTTGTTGTGAGAATGAATTTTGTATTGATTATCGTGCACCGTGTCTTCGGAAAAAAGTTATTTTTCAAAATTTTGATTCACCTTCCTCTTACTTTGTTTTTAAAGCTAAACTTTAAAGTTTTATTCTTTCCATGGACAACGTACTTATGTACTACTAGTAGTAACATTCTAAAGTTGTAAACTTTCTAATACTACTAAGCAAATCATTTTTGTTTATATCAAGTCATTTTACTTTGTTTATATTTTTTTTTTTTGTATTAGTTATATACTTTATAAAGTTTATTTTCATTCATCATTGTAAGAATATTATTCATTTATTTTATTTTGTTATTGTAAGAAGTTTATTTGTGCATTAAAAAAAACGACTAATTTAAGGTTCTGACGATAAGATCTTCGTGATCTTCGTTCAGTTTCCTTGCTTATATTGTAAATTTGTGAAAGGTACTTGTAATTAGTTTTTTTTTTTATTATTATTGTTACTATATAATTGTACAACGACAAACTAATATAAACAAAAAAAAAACGTCTGTACTATACAACATTATCCTCTGTACTACAAAACATTTTATAGTAAAGAATATTTTCCGAAATATGCAACAGTATCGTCTGTACTATACAACATTATCGTCTGCATAATTTAATATCGAACTTTTTGGCTCTGAACCCGAACTCTAACCACTGCGCCACGGCTGCACATAAAAGGTTTTCATAATCTTACTTAAGTGTGAAAATGGGAACATTGGTATATACTTGTCGCACACGTTTTCAATCGCATCCATCTCTATATCTTAGTTCAAACCCTATAACCTTTCTTTTACGCAATAAAAATATTTTTAAATCAAATAGTATTTCCTGATATACTCATAATATACTGATATACTTATGCATGAGTATACCCATTTTATAAAAAACGTAGATTGCTACGACCTTTCCACCTATAGACCTTTCCACCTATAAACCAATCTTAGGACCGTTACTGTTTTCTCTTTATATAAATGATCTATCTTTTACCTCGAACATACTAAACTTTATTTTGTTTGCTGATGACTCCAATCTGTTTTATTCTCATAGGGATATTAAAACCCTCTTTAAAGTAGTTAATGAAGAAGTAAACAAAGTAAATGAATGGTTTATTTGTAATAAACTTTCACTTAACGTTAACAAAACTAAATTTATTCTATTTCACAAACCAACCAAAACAGGAAACCTTCCTTTAAAATTACCCAATCTTAAAATCAATAATATAAATATTACTAGGCAAACAACTGTAAACTTTTTAGGTATTATTTTAGACGAAAATTTAACATGGAGGAAACATATAAACACTCTTGAAAATAAACTTTCAATAAACATTGCAATGATGTATAAAGCAAAAACATTCTTGGATATAAGATCTCTAAAAAGTTTATATTTTTCCTTCATACATAGCTATCTAACTTACGGCAATATCGTATGGGCAAGCAACAGCTACGCTAAGTTAAAGAAAGTTTATACTAAACAAAAACATGGATGTAGAATTGTATTTGGAGTAAAAAGAACTGTGCCTTGTGAGCCACTTTAAAATTAACATATTCCTCGTCATACAGTTCATGTATCAAATAAAACATGGACTGTCTCCAGCGATATTCTATCCTTATTTTAGAGAAGTAAGCCATAAATACCCCACCAAGTTCTCAGAAAATAACTTTGTAACTCAAAAGTATAATCTAAAGTTATGTTCTTATTCAATTCAGTACAGGGGTCCAATTTTGTGGAAAAACTTTCAGCATATTGTTAATATTAAAGAAAAAACACTTCCGCAATTCAAATCTAAATTAAGACCTTATTTAGTACTTACGGATTTTAATATAGCAGATCTTCTATGTCACTTTTAAAGCTTTAAAATTTATTAAATTAAATTAGCACCATAAATTTAAAAATCTAGACCATTTAACAGTACTAAGAATTTCAATGTCTTTATCATACTTTCATTGAATATATATATTCTCTTAAAGTTACCTACAATTTTCTTGATATATTTTATAATATTGGAACAGAATTTTTATTTGAATTTTGAATTATTTTGAAAGAAAATAATATATACAAATATATATGTCGAATCACATCCAATTTATAACCAAAAACAGAAAATTTTTGTCATTTTTATTACTATGTTTTAATAATTTCTTTTTATTTTTTTTATTTATCTTCAATTATTTTAATACTTTTTTTTTTCTTTTTTTTCTTTTTAACTTTGTTTCTTAACATTTTAAATTGTCTTTTTTTAAATACTTTTGCGTATATATTACGGATTATTGTGTATTACGGATATTTATTTGCCTTACTGTTGGGGCTCGGTGATAAGGCTATCTTATGCCTTCTTCTTGCTCCAGCCAATTGTACTTTTTATATTGTTGTACTTTGTAAATATTTTTAACGGCGAAATAAACTAATAAACAAACTAAAAAAAAAATATCGGTACTTTTTTTATTCTCAATTATTTTTGAATGAATTTATAATAAAATCTAGGAATATTTTACAATAAAATATTTGTTATTTTAAACTTTAGGCAGTTTGGATTTTATAAAAATTATTCAAGGGGACAGTCAACTATTGTACAAATTGATTAACTGATGGTTACTATGGTTACGACTAAACAATTAATGATTTTAACAAAATAAATTTACTCTTAGATTATTTTTCAATTTATGTAAAGCATTTGGCACCTTTGATCATTATTCACTTTGATTGATTGGGGGGTATCTAACTTATAGAAAGGTTGCAGGGTATCTAACTTATAGAAAGCTATAGGTTGCGCGGTATCTAACTTATAGAAAGATTGCGGGGTATTTAACTTACAGATGGGTTGTGGGGTATCTAACTTATAGAAAGATTGTGGGGTATCTAACTTATAGAAAGGTTGCGGGGTATCTAACTTATAGAACGATTGGGAGGTATCTACCTTATAGAAAGGTTGCGGGGTATCTAACTTATAGAAAGATTGCGGGGTATCTAACTTATAGAAAGATTGCGAGGTATCTAACTTATAGAAAGGTTGCGGGGTATCTAACTTATAGAAAAGTTGCGGGGTGTCTAACTTATAAAAAGCAATATGGGCAAAATAAGAATACCGAAGCTCTAAACTTTATGTGTGGAGTGCCTAAAGGATCTAGGCCCGCTCTTTTTTTTAATTTTTTTTTTCTTTTAAGAGTTATTTTTTTTAATTTTATTATATATATATATATATATATATATATATATATATATATATATATATATATATATATATATATATATATTTATAACTACATATTAGTTACAATTTTTTTCACGTCGTAATATAAGCAAAGTATACTTCCGTTACAAAAGCTTATATTTAACCAAATACTGCTAAAATATATCTAACAAAAAAACAGAAAAAATAACACTCAGTTAAAAAAGAAGAAAAATTAAAAAAAAAAATAAAATAAAATAATTTTAAATTTAGGAAGCATCAGTTGAATAAATTATGAAAGTCTTGTAAAGTCTTTGTTTCTTATTGAAATTATATTGTTTTAAGGACTCGTAGAAGACTTAATAAGTCTTATCATCGAGAACCTTGGGGTAATACGCAAGATACACATAAAACATTGTGATTCTTATGTACAAATATTTTAAATATTGTGATAAAATTTTGTGTTGTTTTTTTCAAATTGTATTATGATTTGTGTGTGTGTGTGTATTTTTTTTTTTTTTTTTCTTAATATAATATTTTTTATATATATATATATATCTAAAAATCCGACTTTTCTCAAGTTGTATATTGTTTTAATTCAAATTTTGATTTATCATGTGAACTAGAACGATTCTATGTAATTATCTATGTTAAGAAAAAGATTTTTAAGTTTTGATTTTGAAGAATTGATTGATTTTAAAAAATTGATTTTAAAGATTGTCAGGAAAAGTAATTACGGTGTAATTCGGAATTAATTTGTTATATAAATAGGGGCCGCGATAAGAGATAGAGAACTGAGAGTTTGTTTTTTTCCGGGGTACGATAGTTACCAGTTGTTCTTGTGCTAAACTTATTGGTAATTTAATGAAAGAAGTTTCCATTTTAGATCCGATTTTTGTTTTAGCATAAATAGTATATTAGCATATATGTTAATTTGATAAATGATTAGCGCTTCCATTTCTTTTAATAGAGGTTTAGCATCTGCATGTTTGTTTTTATGATATATTATTCTAGAAGCACGTTTCTGCCGTCGATAAAGAGACATTAGTATTGTCTTGTGTGTGCTTTCCCAAGCAATGTGAGCGTATGTAAGATGACTTTGTATAAAAGAAAAGTAAAGAACTTTTAGTTTTTTTGTGAAAAAACGGTCAAGGCTTGAAAAGTAAACCTAGATTTTTAGATATTTGATCGTTGATTTGGGGTTTCCATGAAATTTTTTTGTCTATAACCACTTCAAGAAATTTAATTAATTGGGTTCTATCAATATTGTTAAAATCAATACTTAGAGAGGGAAGAATTGATGGAAGTGTCTTTTTTTGTTGCTTTGAGTGAAATAAAATTTATTTATTTTTTTGTACGTTTATTGATAATTTATTAGCACTGAACCATGTTTTAAGTTGATGAAGCTCAAGATTGACTTTGTCAAAAGGTCATCGATAAAAGAAGATGAATAAAACAGATTTGTAGCATCTGCAAACAATATGCAGTTAAGATTTGTAGAAGCTTTACAAAGGTCATTAATGTATATAAGAAATAATAAGGGGACAAGAATTGATCCCTGTGGAACACCACATTTTATTTTTTAATAGCTTTGAAAATAAAATATTGTTGATTATGACACATTCCTGCCTATCATTTAAATAACTGGTGAACTATTTAACAGTTTTGTTTTTTAAACCATATTTTTTCATTTATTGACCAGAATTATATGGTTGACCCTATCAAAATCTTTTGTAAGATCAATAAAGACTACCAATACAAACTGTTCTTTATCAAAAGATGAGCTAATGTTGTTCACAAGGTCTATATTTGCATGTTCCGTTGAATGATTCGTTGGAAAACCGTACAGATATTGACTTAAAATTTTGCTTTTTGCATGATATTTATAGAGTCCATTGTAGATTAATCGTTTCAGAAGCTTGGAAAATACTGGAAGAAATGAAATAGGTCTATAATTAGTTAGTGATGTGTCTCCAGTTTTAAAAATTGGTAAAATTTTCACTATTTTTAATTTTTCTGAGACAGTTTTTCAAATGGATGAGTTAAAATGTTGAAAAATCTTTTACAAAGAGTAAGATATCTATAACTACATTGCTCGAGATATCATCGATGTCTGGAAATATCAGGGTAAAGTTTCTGACTTTAACTTAGTGCTACTAATAATTTCGTACATAGTATCCCATATTTTTTTATTCTACAACTATGTTTTTGTAATTGTTTGGAAAAATACAACTTTTTAGAATTTTTTAAAATTTTTTCAAAAAGATTTTTGTATTGTTTATAGATAATAAGATTTTTTTGATTCCTATTTTTTAAATACTTGTTATACAATTTTTTTTTCCTTAGAGGATTTTTTTATTCCTTAGGTAATCCATGGGCATTTCAAGTATTTAACTTTAAGTGTTATTTGTAAGTGGATAGTGCTTATTGTATTGTTCAAAGAAAATGCTTATAAATGTATTATAGGTAGTAATTATAGGCCCTTGGTTGCATTGAACATAAACAGTAGATCAATTTGTTTTCAATAAAGATTCTTTAAATTTGCAAAGAGAAGAATCGTTAATTTTTCTTTTATATATCTTAATTTTTGCATTGTTTTATAAGGTTGATTATTGCGCAAGTGAAAAAAAATCGGGTTTTATAAAATGCATCTAGAAATAAGTTTGTTAATATATTATCTATGACAGTAATTGAAGCTGAAGTGACTCGTGTGTATTTATTAAATTTAAATAAATGAATTAATTCATCTGAAAAACTCTTTAATGGTTACTGACGATACAAATCTTTTTTAATCTAACACCAATATAAATCAACTTTAAAAAAACAAGTTAATAAAAAGTAAATCGTGAAACAAACTTTATATACTGTTCTAGAGCATATCAAGGGCCGAACCTATGGAACTATATTAAAAAAGGTAAAAAAAAATCATTGTGTGACAGACTTTTTAATAGACAATTTTTAGATTTCATTTATTTTTCGAACTTCTTCCGCCAGACAATCCCCCTCCCCTGCCCCCTTCTCTCTTCCTAACCATTCTGTTATTTTGTTAAAAAACATCCCTCTAATGCAAGTTATTGGCAAAAATACGCTTGGGTGTTTTCCCGAAGGAAATTACAAGGCAATTATTTTTAACAAATAAGGCAGCAAAAAAAATCCCTCTCGATAAATAGTTTTACCCTACGCAATTGTAACGTGTATAATACGTAATTTAAATGATGTTTTATTGTTATTTAGTTTATATGGGTTTTCTCAACTTTTTTTTTATTATTATCTTATTTTGTACACTTTTAGAGTTAAAATATTCGTCTAATATTTTTCAGTGAAAAATGGTGAAGCTCTATGCAATTGAATTGTTTCACAAATCAACAAAAGTTACTCCATTAAAAAGCGCCCAAGATTTGCAATCTTTCAGTTATTTTCAACGTTCTACGTAAGATTTGATGAATTTGCAATTATTTCTAAATTTGTCCAAATTTTTATTAGTTGTTTAAAATAATTTCATAAATTTCTTTAAAAGGTTTAAAATTATAAAATTTTCAACAAAAAAAGAAAATATACTTTCTCTTTCGAACAACTTTTGAAAATATACTTACTCATTCGACTCTAAAATTTACCTTCGTTTAATAATTTCTGTATCTTTTTATGAGGTATTTTGTCATTTTATAATGGAATCTTAAACAAAATATAATTAAGTTTTATTTTTTTAAATTAAAATAAAATTTTATTTAGTGTTCGTGAGTTTATGGACTTTACTGGAAAAATAATTGTAGAAAGAACAGCAAATGGTGTAAGAGCATCTATAAAAGAACAAGGTCTGTTATTTTATGTCATTTTATTTAAAATAAACTAATTAATATTATTTATACATAAATATATATACAATAAATTATTGTAATTCTACAGTTAAGCGACCTAAAATAATTTTATTTTTTTGCTTGTTGCTCTCATGACAGCAAAAACTTTTTTAACATAAGGAAAATTTATTGGAATAATAATAAAAAAATAAAATTGCTGCCCCATGCCTAAGCCTCAGTCGATGTAGCCCCACATTCCCTTGTAGCAGCAGACTATAAGATAGTCGATATATATTTGAAGCCTATAAATATTCCTCATGTTCCTTAATAAGTTTGTGAAAAAATAAAGATATTTTTGGCCACTGTAGCTTTGCCTAAATTATTTTAGACTATCTGTGCCATGTTTATGTGTCCAATGATGGAGTTAGCGGTGTTGCAATAGCAGATAAAGATTATCCACAACGCGTGGCTTTTAACATGCTTAATAAAGTTAGCAGAATTTTTTCTATATATTTTCTATTTTAGTTTTGTTAATTTACATAATTTACTCTGCTAGTTAATAAAGTTTCATTTTGTTATTTTATTAGTTAATAATTGAGTTAGAACTGGCATGTTCTGTCAAGTATATCACCAGCTGTTGAAGATAACCTCATATAACTTTAAGGTCAAATATATACATATAATGAATATATAAAAAATATGATACACTACAGTAACTGTGTCAAGACTGTCATAATAGTCATAGTGTGTTGACAAATAGCACAATGATCTTTCAATTCCGTTATTATTGCTGCTGCACACAAACACTAACTTTAATAATATTAACTTATTCAAATTCATGCTTTAAAAGATTTTTTATAATGACCTAAAAGTTTATATTGTGAATTCGAAATTGGGTAATTCCATGTCAAATGACCCTGGTCATTTGACATGGAATTACCCAATTTAACATTTTTTACAATTATATCACCGTACATCTCAGATTTTGCTGATTTTTATACAGTTAAGAGTGCTTAGTATAATAAAAGCTCCTTGAAAATTTTAGCCTCTGGCTCTAAGAAGTTCCTGAAATATGACCATTTTATTTTTAGCAAATACTGGCCAGGCCCCTCCTGTCCCTTCAAAATAGCAATGTTTATTTAGAGGTTTCGTGTCGTACAACTTTTAAAATATTTGATTTTTTTTACTTCAAAATTTGTAACTGGTTATTTTTGGAGGTGGTAAATCCAATGAAATGATCAGAAGTGTGAAATATTATTATTAAGTATCTGTAGTTATCTATTTAAATAATTTTTGGCAATTTTTTATGTAACTGTTTTGAATCCTCAAGAAACCCATGTGACCTTGATATTAATATATATGTATATATATATATATATATATATATATATATATATATATATATATATATATATATATATATATATTATCATCAAGGCCACATGGGTTTCTTATATATATATATATATATATATATATATATATATATATATATATATATATATATATATATATATATATATATATATATATATATATATATATATATATATATATATATATATATATATATATATATACATACAAAAAGTATAAAGATTTTGATCTGCAAGTATATTGATTTCGATATATGGATATCATGGCATGGTTCCCACTTTTTTGTATTGGAGTATTGCAATTGATTTTTCACTATCTTCCAGACTAGCTGGAGTTCTGAAACTTTTGGCATTTCTATAGTGTTAATGAATGAGTATTTTAAAATAATTTTAAGGGCCCCAAAACTTTAGGGGGGAGATACTGCAGCAAGTGCCCCACTTTTTGTAGTGGAATCTTATGATAAATTTTTCTCAACCAAAGATAACTTTGAAAATATTGTTTTCAAGAAATTTTTTGGTTTGTAATTATTCTGTTTTATTTAATTATTTACAAAATAGAATACAAAGATATAAAGTGTCAAGATTGTGTTAAGATTTACACAGTTCTGTCAGTCTTTTTCAATTTAAAAAAAACTATTCCCTTTAATATGTTTTGTACAGCAATCAAACATTTTATTACTATTCAATATCTGGTCATTTATGGGGCTTTGTAGATTTGCATTTGTAGTTAATTGTTTTACAGTGGCATCAATACCATCAAATGGTGACTTACCATGACATGTAGCTAAAATGTCCACTCTGCATCTATGTCAAAATCATCTTTATGGAGACAGATATTGTAAAGGTTTTTGTGGCTTTTATACTGTGCAGCACAATCATCTGAAAAATAAAGAATGTTTGAAAAATGATTTTCCTAATGATTAACAATTTGTGTCTGAACTTCATACAGAAAACCAATGTCATCCTCAATATCTTCTGACATTAAGCAAAACAATTTTTCTTTAGGCTGGTCGTTTTTGTTTAATAAATAGAGGGCAGCAGGGTGTAACATGTATTGACTTTGACACCAATTGTAACTTTGAATTTTATCTTGAATCACAAACGTTTAGTTTTCTGCCTAATCGCCTAAGACAATACAGCAGCCTATTTGCTCAATTTTCCTTTTATTGCCTTAAGTATCTTGCTTGACATTTTGCAATTTAGGAATAAATTGTTAACTTGTTTATTGCCTCTGATGACATCAATTTGTATTCTTCAATTGTTGTCTGACAGATCAATGTTGTTCTATCCGTTCTCTTTTCAATTCAAAAAGTTTTATTTATACAATGTTAAATTCTGTCAAAATCATTATATTAGATGACTGTTTTTAGTTCATATACTTGCAAATCAAAAATCTTAAAAACGCATATATTTTCTTAAAACATTTTAACAAAGATCATTAAATACTAAATGTTCAAAAACTGAGTGGAACAAATATAAACAAAAATAATTTTTTTAAGGCAATATTTTCAGAGTTATCTTTAATTTATTAAAAATGCAAAAAAAAAAAAAAAAATTAAGAAAAGTGAGGCATGACCTCCAATGTCCCAGCCTTACAGACCCTCTGGTCATCTGCCCTAGAAACACTTTTAACACATGTTTATTGGGACTAAACAACAGCTAAAAGTTTCAGAGCTACAGTTTGTCTGAAAAGAAGTGAAAAATCTACCAAGACTCTGCAATAGAAAAGTGGGTCTATGGCTAAGCCCTCCCCCCCCCCTCTGGTGTTTTGGACCCTGAAAACAACTTTAATTGGCCCCCTGAAAACAACTTTCATCGGCCCTACAGAAATACTAAAAGTGTCAGAGCTCCAGCTAATGTGGAAGGTAGTTAAAAATCAATTGCAATATTCCGCTACAAAAATGTGTGGACTGTGCCCCATTATCAATGTATGAAAACCCATATACTTGCAGATTAGAATCTTTATATTTTTTAAAAGATCAATAAATATAAAAATGATATGTAGTATATATTATTTTGATATCATCAAGGCCACACGGGTTTCTTGAGCATCAAAATCAGGTATATAAATAACTACTTAAATTTATTTAAATTGGTAGATACAGGTACTTAATAATAAATTTTTACATTAATAATCATTTCATTGGATTTATTACCTCCAAAAAAACCAGTCACAAATTTTTAAGTAAAAAAATGAAAAATTTTTAAATTTATGTAATTTGACAAGACAAGGGGTCTGGCCAATATCCACTAAAAGTAAAATGTTCATATTTCAAGATCTTCTTGGAGCCACAGGCTAAAATTTTCAAGGAATTCTTACTAAGTACTCTCAACTGTATAAAAATCAGCAAAATCTGAGATATAGGATGACATTTTTCAAAATTTCTAAGTCATTTGAAATGAAATTACCCAATTACAATGTAAATGAGAATACAATTATGTATTCTCATTTACATATTACGATTTCTTAATTACAATTTATGTATTCTTAATAACATATTGCAAATTCTTAATTGCAATTTTCAATTACATCTCGAAAAAGTGATACACATAAAATTATGAAATGAATTAATAAATAAAGACAAAGCCAAAATTATTAAAACAGTAATGCAATTATTAAGCTATCCCAATGAAGGAATCAATCTTGCAGTTAGCAATATTGGCAACATGTTGATTTCAGGAAATGAGAAATTGGCTAAAACATCAACGTATATCAAGTTTGCTTTAAAAAGGATTAGTTGACAAAAAAAAAAAAATTATCATCTAAAACAAGAATTTAAATCTAAAAAAAAAATTAGATGAAAGAATTAAGATGTTATCCTTTTAATTGAAATAATTATGCTAATACGTATTATCTATTACATATTCCTTTAGATGAAGGTCTTTGTTCTTTAAGAAGACTAACTATGGTGCTATAATTATTAATATTATTTTTCATACTTGAGTTTTGAATAGTGTAATAATTTACTGGTAATTTTAATGTTTCTTGTTTTGCATCAATTACCTTAAAAATAATTGTTTTGATCTTCTCGTTTTATATAAAATATATGTTAAATAGGTCAGGTATGGACTGCCGTAGAGGAGAAGCCAGTTTAACAAAAATTGCTTTATATATTTCAAATGTCCTGAATTTGTCCTAATATTTAAAAAAAATTATTGTCCTAAAATTTAAAAATATAATGTTAGAGGCCTGTTTTTAAACAAGATTGTTTAAAAAGTTATATTATAGAACCAGGGTATTTTTTTTTACTTCAATAAATAAAATGCTTACAATGACAATAATTAAATATAATAGTAAGAATGCACAAGAGTTTAACATATTAATTGACTAGATCCATTTTGTTAACTATTTTATATTTTTTGATCTGATCAGTGATCCTGCCTTTTGCCTAAAAATTGATAGAATTCGTTTGACACATCTAATGTTAAATGGTTTTTTCTTTTTTTCTTTTACAAGAGTTTTGTAACATGTTTACACATTTTGTAACATATTTCTTATTAAAAATTTGTTGAATACATTAAGTTTCAGTTTTAGACAGATTTTTATGCTTTAAGATATTAAAATTCTTATGCTGTTGCAACTTGTAACTTAGGTTGCAGTATGTTACAGTAAAGGTTTTTCCGAAATTTCTAATAAAAATTTTTAAAATAATTTTGTATACAACAGCACTCCATTAAATTGTATACAACAGCATACCAATAAATTAACACTGATACCATTAACCACTGATACTCTTAGTCAAATTTGACATGTTATGCTAATTCTTAACTACTTGCAAGGATTTATTTGACAAATATTAAGCTACTTCATAACTAATTGCAAGAATTGATTTGATAATTGTTATGTTACTTCATAACTACTTGGAAGGATTGATTTGACAAATGTTAAGCTACTTCATAACTTATTGCAAGGATTGATTAGATAATTGTTACGTTACTTTAAAACTACTTGCAAGGATTGATTTGACAAATGTTAAGCTACTTCATGACTAATTGCAAGGATTGATTTGATAATTGTTACGTTACTTCATAACTACTTGCAAGGATTGATTTGACAAAAATTTATCTTAAAGCTGAAAAGCACACTGAAGATGAGCTTTCAACTTTGAAAACTATCTCATTGAAGTTTCATTTTAAAATCGATACTAGCTGTTCAAGGAACAAGCTGCACAACTAAATAAGTCAACTTAGTTAAAAAAAATTGACTAATCTTTTTACTGCCTATATTATAACTTTTAATACATCTAGTTTTTTTTCTTGAACAAGAGTTCTTTGGAATTCGCTCCCTTCAGCTCATTTTCCTGATTTAGTTAATTTGGAATCTTTTAAGTTGTATGTTAAGAGCCGTTTTTTACCACAAATAGTCATAAAAACAGTTGAAAAAAAATTAGTTTTAAGATTTAAATATATATATATATATATATATATATATATATATATATATATATATATATATATATATATATATATATATATATATATATATATATATATATATATATATATATATATATATATAGTTAAAATCTTGAAACTAATTTTTTTTCAACTGTTTTTATTTTTAAACTCTAAAAACAAAATCTTAATCAAAAAAATATTTTTTTATTATTAAATTAATGTATGAAAGAAGAAATAAATTATTACATTTAGAATTATTAGTATTGTATATTATAAAGGTGTATTTTTATACTATATTTTTTTCAAGTAATATATTTAATAGTTGATAGTTTAATTGTTTCATTTGAGTTTATTTTATTTATTTATTAGATAATTAATGAGTTCATGGAGTGTGTGAAACCACCATATACTCAAGACAATCCAAGGTGTTTGCTTATATTAATACATAAATTAACCTTTAATCTCTTTCTCTCTCTTTTTATATATATATATATATATATATATATATATATATATATATATATATATATATATATATATATATATATATATGTATGTATTTACATACATACATACATACATACATACATACATACATACATACATACATACATACATACATACATACATATATATATATATATATATATATATATATATATATATATATATATATATATATATATATATATATATATATATATATATACATTTATTACATTTATATACATATAAATGCAACTCTCAGAATTAGGGTCGACATTCGGCAATGCCGACCTAACTGCCAACCTAGAAGTGTTTACAGTTGGTAAAAAATTGTCAACCTTGTTTCAATGCTTTTATGGTCAAGCTTTTGTTTTACATTTTTTCTGCCGACCTGATGACCTCATACAGAAAAGGTCTACAATGTATTGCCTGTTTTATATATATATATATATATATATATATATATATATATATATATATATATATATTATATATATATATATATATATATATATATATATATATATATATATATATATATATATATATATATATATGTATATATATATATATATATATATATATATATATATGTATATATATATATATACATACATACATATATATATACATATATATATACATATATATATATTTATATATATATATATATATATATATACATATATATTTATATAAATATATACATATATATTTACATATATATATAAATATATATGTGTATATATATATAAATATATATGTGTATATATATATATATATGTAAGTCTTGTAAGCCATGTGTTTGCACGCCTTGTTTGTCCACGTTTAAAGTAATTTTTTTAGACACACTGACCATGGCTGTTCGCATCTTTTAACTTTTTAAGCGATTCAATAATTTGCAGCATAAAACTAAACTTATCTACTGAGAAATCAAACTATTGACGTTCTATTTTTCAGCAGCTGTTCTTGAGCACACTTCGTTGAGTTTTGGTAACTTTTAACAAAAAAGCGATTGTTATTATTTAATTAATTTTTTTTGAGTCACTTTTTAAAAAAATTTTTATAACTGTACTTTTTTATTGAATCAAGTAGAATACGTTTTAATATTAATCCTTTTATTTTTTTTATTTGCGCTTACCAATTTTTAAAATGTTTCCTCGAAATTACTCTTAAATACTTTAAATACATCTAAATATTTTTAAATTTATGGAATAATTTTAAAACCTAACAAACCTCCGTAATATAATTATTTAAGTAAGCTAAAAGAAAGTATTTTTGTTCAATTTTATCGACAACTTTGCTATTGCTGAATAACTTTTTTAAAAGGTTAGCTCAAAAAGATTTAAACTTTTTTTTTAATCTGAATTTTTTCTACTTGTAAATAATGAGCATATTTTATTTTTTTGTAATTCAAACTTTTATATCAACTGCGTGCGGCTTTTAAAATACTTTATTAAGTGTTAAAATTATCGTAAATTACTTCATTAAAATTTCGCTCAAAATTATCTTTAAATATACTCAAACAAAAAATTTTTTGCGTGACACAAATAGCCCTAGCTACTCGCAAAATCGCTCTTTGGTGACGTAAAATTCACATCGCCCGACGCTTTATCGCACAGCCTGTAGAAAAGTTTAATATGAAAAGAGAAAATTAAAAAAAAAATTTTATAAAATTTTTATACAATTTTTGTACTCTTAATTTTAGGGTGTCTTAATTTTGTTATTTTTAGCTACCTTATTCGATACAAGTTGAGGAAAAAAACATTAGATTTTATAACAATTGAAAGTTTTGATATGCAAATTATTCACAAATTTTATCTACACATATATTTAAAAATCTAATTTTCTATGTACGCTAGAACTATGAGAAATTTTGTTGAATTTAATTATTTTGTTAAATTTAATTAAACGTTAATACGTTAAAATACAAAACACTAGAAATAATGAACATAACTATTGTTCTGTTTAATAAAATGTAATAATATCTAAAAACTTAAATAAAAGTTTTAAATAGGCTCCAAAAAATTTCCTTAAAAAAGTAAATTACAAAACACTAGCCTGCAAGCTTTCAGAACATCGTCAATAACAATATTTGATCAGAAAATTAACTATCAGGTTTAGATGTACAAGAGAATCCAACTAAAGTGAAGGCTATTTTAATTGGGGTAGTGAAAAAAAGCAAATATTTTATAATTGAATATAAGTATTAACGACTTTATTTTTTTACATAAAAAATTTGTTAAAAAATAAAAAAAAACATTTTACTAATAAATAGCAATTACTTTTCTCGCTTTCTTGTACATTGATAAAAACAGTAAAGTTTAGCAAAAACATTTGAAGAACAAATTTCAAAATTGTCCATATTTCTAGCGCAAATAGTAAAGTGTTTTCTTAATATACTAACTGTTAAAAGTTGCGAATAAATTGTATATCAAAAAATGTTTTTATTTTTGTTATATTTGTATCTGCTTTTTCCCTCGACTTGCATCAATATTAGTATTGGAGAAAAAATAAACGCCCTAAAAAAAATAAACGCCCTAAAAAAATAAACGCCCTAAAAAAAATAAACGCCCTACAAACGCCCTAAAAAAAAAATTTTTTTTAAATAGTAAAATATTAATTTTTTTAATTTAAATTTTTTTTTTAGTTTATTTTAATTAGGCTTACTAATTTGTATATTATTTATTTCTTTTTCTTTGAGTCCTGCTGTTTTATTTTCTGTAGTTTCTTATAGCTTTTTTTTTTGCCACAAATTTTTAAAACGCTTACTATGTAAAAATGTGGTCAAGTTGTCTTATAAAAATTACTTCAAACATAGACAAACAAGGTGTGCGATCGCAGGTACTTCCCGGAAAGGCCTGATATATATATATATATACATATGTGTATATATATATATATTCATATGTGTATATATATATATATATATATTCATATGTGTATATATATATATATATATATATATATATATATATATATATATATATATATATATATATATATATATATATATATCATTTGTAATGAGTCTTTTTGATGATACTTAGTGTAAAATCAAAAAAGTTTGATAAGTGATTTTCTACTAATTTAGATATTGACTGCCAAATCTCAAATCTAGGTGAACTCACTGGAGAAAATAGAAATAGCCTCACCTTGCGCTAATCCAATATTTTGTAAATCTGTAAGCAATTTTGTATGGTACATATTTTGTATCCACACATAATTCTTGTTACAAACCACCTTTTTGAAGATTATAATATAGCATAATCCATAATATCCACACACATATAATTCTTGTTACAAACCACATTTTTGAAGATTATAATATAGCATAATCCATAATATCCACACATATATAATTCTTGTTATAAACATTTTTGAAGAATATAATATTGCACTGCGTTTCAAATAAAATGTAAAATACTTAATATTTGTGATATCAATTTAACCTCAATAATAATTATCGCCAGTTTACTTATACATTTTGATCTGTTAATACACATCTGTGACTTTTTCTGATTGTTTGTAAGTTAAACAAAGACTATGAAATTAGTGCTCATAAAGTTTTTAGCATTTGGTTTTTGTTATCTGAATGTTAAATGGGGCGTGGTAAATTTTTAACGAATAAAGGCTTATCTAATTGTGATATTGCAAAGTATATTTAAAGATCTCCAAAAATGGTTAATAATTACTTCAAGATAAGATTTATTTATGGATCTTATAAGGGAAGTGGTAGCAAACGTAAAATTGATAATTGTACTAAATAAGCTATTGTACGTCGTGCAGCTGCTCAGCACATGACTGCATCTCAATTTTGTACTGGTTTGCATTTATCTGTAACTGTTCAACAACAAATCTTACATGAAGATCCAAACGTAGTTTTGAAAAACTGTTTGTCATAAAGAAGCTAGATTACAATTTTCAAAAGAGCACCTGTCTCCGCAGGAAGAGTGGCATCAAGTTCAATTTAGTGATCAAAAAAAGTTTAATTTAGATGATCCTGATGGTTATCAATTTTACTGGCACGGTTTTTGTGAAGACAGAAAGAAACTTGTATGAGTTGTAACTTTGGTGTTGCAACCATTATGGTTTGGGGAGTTTTCCTTTGCTGAAAAACTTCTACAGGCATAGATTTCAACAAAAATAAATTCACAGGACTACATTGACTAGAAATTAGTTTGATTGAACTTGGTGAAGAATTTATGGGTGAAGATATCCTTATTTCAAAGCTTATAAAAGCTTGATTTAAAAAAAAAAAATTCACGTAATGGAGTGGCCCGCATGTAGTTCAGATCTAAGCCCAATTAAAATTCTATGGGGAATACTTTTAGTAAGGTTTATGAAAATATTAAGCAATTTGAATCAACATTGGAGCTGAAAACTCGTATCAAAGAAGCTTGAAATCAAATATCTTTTCTTTCATTTTTTTTGTAACTAATTAAACCAATTTCTTAAATTTTCAAATTGTAATAGAGATAATAAGAAGTATAGTAAATTTAAAAATTGTTTCTTTTCCTTTTTTGTTAAATTAGAACAAAAAATAATGGTGAGACTGTTTCTATTTTCTCCACTTTATGTACTAAAGCTTCCGCAATTAGCGCAAATTTTAATGCTAATAGCACATTTATCTTTCAAAAATGCTGACTTAATTCCAATAGTTTTTTTCAGAAAAAGAAAAAAATGAAAAATAATGGGATTTTTTTGCCATAAAATCTAGAGTTCTTTAATATCTAGAAAATACCTGCCTTAGTACAAACCCTTTTCCTATATATATTAATGTAAATTTATATATGTAGGCAACCCTTGGAATTAGGGTTGACATTCAGCAATGCTAATATAGCTGCCGACCTAATAGTGTTTGAGGTCAGCAAAAAATAGCCGACATCGTTTTTCCCAATTCCAAGGGCTGATATATATATATATATATATATATATATATATATATATATATATATATATATATATATATATATATATTATATATATATATATATATATATATATATATATATATATATATATATATATATATAACTTTATATATATTTATATATATATATATATTTATATTTATATATATATATATATATATATATATATATATATATTATATATATATATATATATATATATATATATATATATATATATATATATATATATATATGTATATATATATATATATATATATATATATATATATATATATTATATATATATATATATATATATATATATATATATATATATATATATATATATATATATATATATATATATATATATATATATATATATATATATATATATATATATATATTATATATTTATATATATATATATATATATATATATATATATATATATATATATATATATATATATATATATATATATATATATATTATATATATATATATATATATATATATGTATATATATATATATATATATATATATATGTTATATATATATTATATATATATATATATATATATATATATATATATATATATATATATATATATATTATATATATATATATATATATATATATATATATATATATATATATATATATATATATATATATATATATATATATATATATATATATATATATATATATATATATATATATATATATATATATTAGTGATGTACCAATTAATCGACATTGGCTTTATCGACCATTTTTTGCACAATTGGAATCGGTATTGGCATCGGCTACTTTTACCGATTTTCCAACCGATGGCTTTTTAATATTTTTATCCTGCATTATTATAACAATTAATAAATAAACCAAACTTCATGCATTACTTGAAATTTTTTAGATAAATTTTTATTTTGACTTTGTTTACAGGCAAAAGCTTTAAAAGTAACCAATTTAGGCATTGTTATCTAAATTTTTAAAATTCTTTTTTACTCCCAACAATGCTGCAAGCAGCCACTGGGAGTTGCTAGAAAAAAAGAGTACAGTTATAGAGCAAGGAAACGATTGACAGAAGACTTAAAAAGTTTAAGGTTGTATGAGTTAGGAAAAAATGAAGATGGGACAGAGTTCCTAAGGGTTGAAGAACTGGGAAATAAGCTAGACAAATAAATGTTTTTGGAACATAAGGAGATAGATACAGTAAAAGAATGAGACTTTGATAAATGACCAGTCAAACAAGAATGAGTTTTGGTTGATGGAACTAGAGATAAAAGCTCTTTTGAGCAGCAACCATTATAGTATTTATAAAAAAGAGGAGATGCAACTTTACGACAATGGGAAAGAGGCTCAAGCTTAGCAGATTAACTTTGTTCAACTCTGTTTACAATGCGTTTTTGGACCTTACCTTGAATAGAAAGAGCATCATTAGAAGAACCAGCCCAAAAATGACAATAGTATTTCACACAGAGACGAAAAAGAAATTTGTAGAGGTAGAGAATGGAATCAGGAAAGTGAAAATGATGAGCACGATAAAGAGAAGCAAGCTTAGCATATGCTAATTTAGCAATCCATTGTATCTATGGTTTCCATGAAAGGTCAGTAGTAAATAATAATCCAAGAAGACTTAAAGAAGAGGAATCAGTGGGAGGGTTGCCATTCATTAAAATAGGAGTGTCAACAGTACTGCAATAATTATTTGAGGTGAATAACTGAGTTTTGTTGGAATTTAAATTTACAAGCCACTGTAAGCCCCAATCAGTTACAGAAGTGAGATCAGATACAAGATGGGCTGTCTGTTCTAAGCAAAAAAAGAGAAGAATTTTTTTCAAGAAATTTGTATTAAGTTGAGTCATCAGAAAAAAGAGCTACTTTAGATGTGAGGTTGTCAGGAAGATCATTAATGTAGGTAAGTAATGAAACAGGACCAAGGATAAAACCTTGAGGTATCCCAGAAGTTACTGGAAATAAAGAAGAGTGTTGACCTTCAAGGATGGCTTTATTAAGTCGGTTAGAAAAAAAACGATTTGATAATTCAAAAAATTTCAATATAAAGTTTTTTAGAGAAGACCAACATGTCAAACTTAGTCAAAAGCCTCAGATATGTCTAGAGCAATAGCCTCTAAGCCTCCGTCTAATGCACAATAAAATCTTTCAGTCACAGCAGTTAGCAAGTCAGCCGTAGAGCAAGAGGATTGAAACACGTATTGGTTGTCTGACAGTAAGTTATTTGACTAAAGTTGGAATGTGAGAAATATATTTATCAAAGACTCAAAAACCTTGCTAATAACAGAAAGAGGACTGATTGGACAATATTTGGAGGGGTCAGTATGTTTACTAGAGTTTTCAGAGAATTTACCAGAGTCCTGAAGAACAATTTTGTACAACTGTGACAGGAATTAGTCTAGACCACAAACCGTAAAAGAGTTTAATCGATATGACTATGAGCAATGGAAGCTGAAGAAGTTTGAATGTCTAACAATGGGTTAACCTGTTTAATAAGAATGGAAGGAAGAGAAAGGCCATAAGATTTGAGATTCAGATTAAAAGAGAATTTCGTTGCAAATAGTTCAGCCTTATTTCATGTATTTAAGCATAGCCAAGTATCAAGAATATTTTTATTTTTTTATTTCAATTCACCTCCCTGAGGCTACGAAGGCCACTTTAATTGAAGGCTTCTTTAGTTATGGCTACAACCCACTCTCAATTTTATAACTTGGAAACACAAATCTTGGCTTTGATTTGGGTCCAAATATTTGTTTACCAGTTTCAATTTAAAATTGTATGGGTTTTGTATTTTCAAATTTTTAATAATTATTTAATTCTTTGGCATCGGTATCGGCATTTTCTCAGCCATCAACATCGGCATCGGCTAATATATATATATCACTAATATATATATATATATATATATATATATATATATATATATATATATATATATATATATATATATATATATATATATATATATATATACATACATACATACATATATATATATATATATATATATATATATATATATATATATATATATATATATATATATATATATATATATATATATATATATATACATACATATATATATATATATATATATATATATATATATATATATATATATATATATATATATATATATATATATATATATATATATATATATATATATATATAAATATATATATATATTAGTGTGGGTATATATATATATATATATATACATATATATATATATATATATATATATATATATATATATTTATATATATATATATATATATATATATATATATATATATATTAGGGTGGGTCATAAAATTTTTTTTTAGAGTTGCTAACCTGGCTATGGTCTAGAAAGTTGTTTTTTTATGTACTAATTTAGGAAAGTATTTACTTTTATGGATTGAACAATGTCTTCCACCCGCAACTATAATTACAAAAATTAGCAGGCCCTATTATTATTCAAAAAAAAGTTTTTCAAAATTATGTGATGTAGGTACTCAAATAAAGCGAAATTTTATAAAAATTTCAAAAATAATAATTTTTTCATATAAAAATTATTATTTTAGATTTTATCGCATAATAACTATAGTTTTTTAACTAAAAGTGAAAAAGGTGCATTTTCACATATTTTTTAATAACAATTTTTTCGACAAATTTATTTTTATAAAACGATTATTATATACAAATTTTTTATAAAATTTCGCTTCTTTTGAGTACCAACTTTTGAAAAACTTTTTTTCTCCAAAATATTAGGGTACCGGTAATTTTCCCAATAAAGTTGTGCCCTCTAAATCTATCACAATCATTCTCATATTTGATAGTATCAATATTAATAACTATTAGCAATGTTTAGAGCCTGTAACAAGAAAAAAAAATTTTAGGACCCACCCTAATATACATATATATATATATATATATATATATATATATATATATATATATATATATATATATATATATATATATATATATATATATATATATATATATATATATATATATATATATATATATATATATATATATATATATATATATATATATATATAACCGGACATATATATATATCCGGTTATATATATAAATATATATATATAACCGGACAATTTGATGTAGACAATTCATCCCAGACAATTTGATGTGGGCAATTAGTTAAGGGTATTAGAGTTATAAGTGTGGGGGCATAGGCTGGGGGAATTTAACTCTGCAATTAGATTTTGAAAAAAATATATAATATTGTTAATATTAGCGAGAAATATTAAAAACTTAAGAATCTAGGATAAAACAAAATAATGTTTGAAAGTTTCATTTTATGTAAAATAATTAAATATATTAAATAATGTTGTGGGTACACCTTTGCTTATGATTTATCTCAAAATCCATTGCTGTCCAAACAAAATTACCTTTCCCGCTTCTACAAATTAACAAATTTAAATTTTAAATTGGTTAATTATCCAGCCAATTCTGTTCATTTTATTAATATAGTGGAAAATTAACTCGAATAAAAACCTTAATAATCTCTGCTGATGAAAACTTCACGCATAGTTTTCATATTATAAATTTCTTTCATTTTTGATTATTTTAACAGACTCGTGTTTAAAACGCGTATCTAGTAGTATATCATACGCGTATCTAGTAGTATATCTTACGCATACCTAGTCGTATATCATACGCGTATCTAGTCGTATATCATACGCGTATCTAGTCGTATACATACGTGTATCTAGTAGTAAAAACATAAATTTAAAAATTGACAAGTAATATTTTTTTTTTTTAGTTCTGTTGTTTTACATAAAAAGTAAACAAGAAATTTTTTTTGACCCTTTTTTCCGAAAAACATTAAGAGCTTTTTTTCTAAATAGTTTAAAAAGATAAATTATATAAATAAGATTAAAATCTATTTTTTTAGCGCCTTTAATTATTACTGCCATTATTTTTTTAGTGTCATTAATTTTAATCTATGTGAAACTTATCTTCAAAAGTATCAGGTACTTTGAGCTAAAGTTTAAAACTATTCAAGTATTTTAGTTTTGATTTTGTAATTAATTTGATTTCAAAATTAAAGTTTAAAAAAATATATAAACCTTTCTTAGAACCCCACTGATGCAGATCCAATGATGAAAGTACAAGCAGAACTAGACGAAACTAAAATCATTATGGTAGGTTTCACAATTTTTTTGCACTTAAAACGTTTTATTAATTTAGTAATAAAATTTTGTAGTGCCAATAAAAGTTGTAGTACTGAGTTTTATTACAGTATGCTGGCATGACATAGAATTTTTTTTTCCCTCTGGCACATGCGCTTAAATACTTGGCAAACTTTCTCAAGTAAACAGAAATATGCTTACTTAAGACTTTTTGTCACAAGTTAGCATACTTTCTCAAGTAATACGGTTTTAAGGAATCTTTATAAATGCATGAAAGTATTTAATATCATTGATAATGTTATTGTTTTCTCCTTAAGTATAATACAATTGAGCAAGTTCTTCAACGTGGGGAAAAACTTGATGATTTAGTTGCAAAATCAGAAGGGCTTAGTACTACTTCCCAGGCTTTTTATAAGACGGTAAGTTTTAAAAGTTTGTTGTTTTTGATTAAATTAGTAAAAGGTTGTGTTTGTTAAAAGAATTTTTAATTTTAATATTTAATAAATTTAGGCGAAAAAGACAAACGCTTGTTGTAGTTGGTAAAGCTCTTTTTCATTTGACGATAGCTATTCTACAATGGTGATGCACTGTATTATGTTTGATAGGAATATATTTATATAATTATTTATTCGTTACAAACTTAATAATAGTTATAAGAATAAGTAAGAAAAAAGAATGAGAAAAAAGCTAATTATTACGAAGTTGGAATTTTGTAAAATTACAATTTTAATATTGGCAGATTGCCGTGCCTAATATAAATTTTAGAGTTATTGCAAATATTTTTGCTATATTTTTTCTTAGATTAATTATATTTTTGTAAATGAAGAATTCTATGTTCATAAATAAATGTATTATTTTTTTTGTTTGTTTTTGTACTTGTGTATTTTCTTTGTGTAATAAATACACAATAAGTACACGAGTTATTGTATCACATTGATTGTATCACATCATATCATATTGTCATATTTCTAAAAAATTGAGGCTCTGAAAGTCTTAAGTCTTTAATTTTACGGAAAAATCCACGAAAATTCTTGTAAATATCAGATACTTCCGTCGAAACTCAATGGGTTTTACTGTTAAACAACGGAAACTTGCGGCTGCCGAATAATTTCCGCAAATAAACGGATAATTATTTTTAAATCTATGATTTTTTTTCTGGGACGTTCTGGGAAATCAACTGCCTTATAGTTTTCATAATTTTATTTGATATTCCGTTGATTTGAAAATGTTAAAAGTTTGTTATCAGCAAACATTTTAAATGTAAAATGGATTGTATATTATCGAAAATATTACTTAATTTTGCGAAATTTTAACAAATTTACATTTAAATATTTTTCGATATTTTAACAAATTTACATATAAATATAAAATTTTTAAATGATATTTTATTAATACTATAATAATATTATTGATATTGATTCCAAGTTTTGTTAGAAGTTTTAATTATTGGTTTAACAAAATACAAATAATTCAACCCAAAAACAAGTCTTTTTTTTAATTCGAGTCAACTGAAAAACTAAAATAATAACAAAACACACATAAGTTTTTGAAAGAAAAAATATTTTTAATATCTTAAATAGTTCTAAATTTTAAAAAATATTTTTTTTATGTGCAATAAATAATTTTAAAGTCATTAAGGACTGTTTAAGTAAAGTGCCTTACACCAAAAGACTGATTTTGTTAAGTAACTTACATAGACATAAAAATAGAAGAATTGTGTGATTGCCTTTGTTGGATTCAGATTCAGATGGCAGTGGTCCTAAATTTATGTTTGTATACATTGATTATGCAAAGTTATGTTTGTATACATTGATAAACTAAAAAAAAATCTTTACAACTTCTTGATAAAAAGCTTGTAATTAATTCTCAAAAATTGAAAAATTAAATTTCAATAACTAAAAAGTTCATGCTAAAAAATAAAAAATTTTATAAAACATAACTAAATATAACAAAAAATTAATAAATCATAGAACCTATCTTTAAAAAAAATATGTAATCAATAAAATACTTTATTGTTGAAAAAGTTAATTCTTGCTTATGATAAAAAAATTCTTGCTTAGGTTTTTAATTCTTGCTTAATCAAAGTTCATACCTCTCATAAATCTTAGGCCTAGTGGAGTGGACATGTAAATACAACGGGTTTGGGCTGGGCAGGCAGTCAAAAATAATAATTTAAAAAAACTATTATAAGCCTACTGCTTTACTTAAATAAAGAACATATAAATCTTTATTTTGAATCATGCTTGCACAGTTGCAGCTCAAAAAATTAGACTATTCAAAATTAATCCTTATTTTGTACTTTTAAAACAATTTTTTTTTTTTTTTTTGCTTGTTATAATCATATACAACAAAACATATAAAATATTATGTTCTTTGATTGATAGACTTTTTAACGCATAATATAGTGTTCAAACTGGTGGTCACTAGTGTCGCCAACCAACTACCATAGTCCATCTATTTTAGGCATTCCATATCGCACTGTTCTTTGCATCTGACTTTAAAACAATGGCCTATGATTCATATTTAAACTTGCCAATATCTAGTTTTCCTTACAAGACAGCAAGTTTATCATCTAAGTTGTACAATGATGGTGCTTTGCTACAATGATATAATCATTACAACATTCTAAAAATATCCTTAAAAAAGAAAGACGTCAAGTTGAATAGCTCAGGCTCCACCTTCTCTCTCTGTTTTTCCTACTCGACAAAACCGAAAAGGCACTAACATAGTTTGAACTATTGATTATAGTTGTTTCATCAATCTGAGGATTCAAAAAACATAATTAAAATACCAAATTTCAATTAACTCTACTTTTTTTTATTTGCAAAACATATTCTGGAACAAGAAACAGTTTTTTGTTGACAGTTTGAACTAAATTGCTTCTACACACGTTCCTGTTTATACTCAACTCCTTATGAAGGTCGGACACGACGTCTTCTAAGGGCTTCCCAGATTGGGCATCTTTGATACCTGACTCCTTGTAATTAATTTTGAGAATAAAAACTACAACTATAAAAACCGTTAAACGAAAATATTTTGAAAAACTGAAACAAAAATGTAACGAGAATAAGGATTATTTAACACGAAGAATTTTTAAACATAAAGAATAGATTGCTTTGTTTATAATTTTTCAATGTAGCAGTTGCAGTGCAAGTATTTTTTTAAAAGTTGTTGTTCAACTTTAGGTCAAGATTACTATAATAAGATGATAGAAAAGTCTATATTAACAAGTATGTATGCATAATATAAATAATTCATCTAGTTAGTTTCAGAAAGTTTATTTAATAAACTTTTGCCGATTCTTCAATATTTTAAAATCGAGTTGCACACATCTGAGGTTATTTTGATAACACAGGAAAATTTTGATAATTTGAAAGAATCATTTTATATCTGAATATAGACTTAATAAAGACATAAATGTCTAAAATAATACTTGCAATCAACTTATCAGAATAATCAAACATCATTAAAACATATTTAAAATAAAAAACTAATATTTTACCTTAAAGACAATCAATATCATTTTCACAATCAATATAATTATCATACATCATTGTCTTAAAAATAATATTGAAATGAAAGTCTTCAATCATATCTAAAATAAAATATAAAAATAGTAATAATAAAAATAATAAATATTATTATAATAAAATATCATAGTAAAATTATTATTATAATGAAAAAATATTAATAAATGTAGTAACAAAAATAATATTAGGAAGAAGAAAAATATACAAATTAAAAAAATTTGTAAACAGTTGATGGCTTGTTCCTTAGTGAATAATTCCATGCGTTTACTTAATCAAAGTTTAAAATTATATTTTTCTTGTAAAAACTATGGACCTGGCATCTTCCTGTTGTCTGAAATATATTTATAATAATAATAATAATAATAATACAATTCAGGAAAATAATTTAAGTATAGAAAAAAGAAAGAAATAATATGTAAGCTAAAAAGGTTCCAAAACTGTTCAAAATTACAAATCGAGAGGCAAAAAAACTTGTTCTTATAATACTATAATAATTATTTATTTATTTCCTATACAATTTATATTATTGAAAAAATTTTAATGCAGAATTTTAATGAAAATTTTTAAAATTGGTAATGGTAATTGTTATTGAATTATAATTTAAAAATTTCAAATTAATGTTAACTGTAATGCTATGTATAACAATCCTTCTTTTTTGTTTCCATAAAAAAATACGAGAAAAAAATTAAAAAGAAATTATAAAGTCTATATAATTTATATGATAATTATGCTTCATTATTGGTATTTAACAACATAAAGAAACTATAATTTATAGTAATCATTTATAGTATTAAATAAATGAGAGCTAAACAATTTAAAATTTCTTTTGCTTTTGTTCAACCAAGAAAGGCAGAAATATATTAATATTGTTATTTTTAAAAAACACGCCACCTAAAAAATCAAAAACTATAAAACATAGTTTGGCTCCCGTTAGTGGTGGATCCAGCATTTTTTAATATTTGAGATACTTACTTCTAGACATCGAGCAAATTCCAAACATTTATATGTTTATACTGATGTCAAATAGGCTTAACCCCACCCCCTTTTAAACTAAGGACAATGGGGGAGGAGGCTAAGCTTTGAGAGATTATACAATGAAATTTAAAATTTATCGATAAATATAAATAAAATAGTAAAAAAAAATTGAGAATAGTAAAAAAAATATTTTATTAACTTATTGCTCTCACGTTTGGGACAGGAAGAGATGGCGAAAAAAATTTGGGCATTTTTGTTCCCAGGCTCCAATGATTTAACATTATTACAAACATATAAATATTTGGAGTTTGATCCATGATATGCCCCTTTTGTTTTTAAATAAAAAAAATTTCAGTTTAATTTTGTTTAATAGGTATTTTCCGTGCTAATAACGCAAAATAGTTTTGTAAAGGTACGGAAATTTTTTAACTGTGCATTGTAAACATTTTCCCTCTCTTTTCCATAAATAAAATAGTAACAAATAGCTCATGTTCATTTCATAGTCCTCATTGTAAATGTTTTTAATAAGTTTTTTAAAAATCTAAAGTAGTACGAAAGAAAAAGGAAATTCAAGTATAGATAAAATGATAAGCCATAACGTAGCTACGGAAAAATTTCAGAGGGCAGCAAGAATCAATAACGTATAGACGTAATCAATAAAATTTATTTCTATTAAATATCCTAAAACAACTGCAAAGGGTAATCCGATAAAGTTATTTTTTATTTTAATTTTTTGTTCTTTAATCTTTACAAGTTCGTAATACATAATTTAATCGTTTACAGAGTATAATAAAATTTAAAAAAAAGTCACAAAGTTACGGTATACAAAGAATAGATAAAATAAACTGTAAAGTATTAGAATTTACTTTAAAGAACTCGGGAAACTTGCAGAAGAACGATGGTCTTGTCATCACGAAACCGCTTAGCGTTACATATACTTTTGGATACTTCAATTTAAAATAAGTTTATATTTAAAAAATAATGTTACAAGTTTCGGCAGAATAAAAATAAAAATGCAAATTGGAAAAAAAAAAAATAATAAAGAGCGCAGACAAACAGTTTTTAATTCTTTTAATTTTATTTCAATGCACATAAGTATAAGTAGGTACACAATTTGCTAAAT